GCGAATTTTCAAATTTATAATTCTTAATCCAAGAATAAATAGTTTGTAAATAATGCGCGCGATTGAGTTTGTTAGAACTATATAATGATTTTAGAAAGAAGAATACAATTTTAAGAATAAAGTATACTTTAAATAATAAATCTATTTATTGATGCCAGTGAATATTTATAATTGAAGAGAACATTTTATACTTAAATGAAAGTAAATAGCATTCAAGAATAAAAATATACGTGAATCAAGAATTCATTTTTTTCTATGTATATATGAATGTAACGTAATAATTACATAAACTTTTTAATATTAAATAATGAATATTAAAGAATATTAAGTTATAAGCAGCTTTTACACAGAAGTTACAAATATTCAACATCAGACAATAGAATTGAAATTTTTATAAAACCGTGATATATTCAAGGAATTAATTATTTCATGAAATAAAATATTTAGAAGTGCTTAGATCAGTTTTATTTGATTTTTTGTTTCTATAGAAATGAATAAATTAAATATTAAAATCAGAATTATTATTTGGAAACTCAACATTATTTGCATAAATAATAAGTGTGTAAAAAATTATTAAAAAATATCAGATCAACTATGTTGTTAAGTTTATGTACTAACTATTTTCCTCCTTTTTTTTATAAAAACCTTTATAGATATTCTTTTACAGGAATATTTATTACATATTTATTATATATTTTTGAGACACCAACATCATATTAAGTTTTTTACTTTATAGTCTCATTCTATTGACTTGTTTCAATGTCAGTATTTTATTTATATGTCTGTAGAAATTTTCAGAAAATGTAATAATAAATAGTACTTTCACGTTGTTGTGCTTATATGCTATTAAAATTATTCTCTAGTAATCGCAATTGGTATCGAAAGAACCTTCTACCTATTATGCAGCATTCTATGTTTAAACAGAATAAATTTATATAAAGTTTAGAATTAGCACATGTTAATTCATAGCTACACAACGGCTTGTTACACCAAAATAGAGTAACGGATAGGTACTAGAGAAAGTGGTGAAACTTCAAATTGCTAATTAACCTGTTTTGACCCTCTTATAACTTCGAAGAAAGCTCGAAATAATTTTCACACGAAGTACAAGTTGTAAGTATTTTGTGTTTTGCATATTCATATAAAATTTCATGTTCCGTCATTGTTAAAATTATAGAAGAATAATCGTTCAATAATAACTAGATTTTCCCCAAAATTACTGGCAAGAGAATGAAAAAGAAAAGAAATTTGATTTTTTATATTACAGAAAGTATTTTTCTTTCTAATATTTCTATATATATATAGTTATAGGTATCCCTACTAAAAAATATATTAAAAAAAAAAAATATACGCCAAGTGCATAAAAAAGGTGTTTCAAATATTACATTCTTTTTACTAAAAAACGAATGAATATTAAAAATGGTTAACACATTAATATAAAACATTTCAATCATAAAAAAAATCTCACAAAAATGATATCAACTGACTGAATATGAATACAAATTCGATTCAAAATTCAAAATTTCATTGTACCACACTTTTGCGAAAAATTAATGCGCCTCTAGAATTTTACTACAATTTAAAATTGAAGCAGTTCTATATAAATTTGCTTGATAATAATAATCGATAATCATCGCATTCATTCCGAATATGGCTTCAAATTTTATCAAAACATGCTGAGCGTACAACGGCGTCATGCAAATTTTAGCGTTCGCACGAGGTAATAGTTAGAAATTCTTCTGTGTGACGCGATAGAAATCAAATCTGCGTTAATGCCGCTTCGCGTGTTACACCGAGCCGATCCCGAAGAATAAAACGAGATCTAAATTGAACAAGTGACCGTGTTTTTCAATGATCATTCGTCGAATCGACGAGGATATATCCGTCGTCGATGGCCTCGACATCCCTGAACCGTCGATCAAATTTTCAATCTACCACATCAGAGCATTGCCGAAGGACAGTCCTCGTCGTTTAGCTCGATCATGACTTTCACGACTAATAAGCCAATTAAGAAGGACTACCGTGGCGAAATGTAAAGTCGTTTTCATTCAGTAATATTCGAGTCCCCAATCAATTACATTTCCTCGCTGTGTATATGTCGAACCAAATCCTTCGTTCTACCGTGGATAAAAGTGGAGTCGCGCTTGGAGAACTAATATATAACGGTATGTAAAAATCAAAACCGTTTCTACGATTTATCGTTTACGTTTCAGAATATCCATAATATAGGGCGAATTTTTTTATTCATCGATTGATCAATCGCATTGTGGGCAAATATAATTTTGTTCCGTAAAAGTTGCATTTGCGCATAATATGATTGATCAATCGATGAATTAAAAACTCGCCCATGTATAGCAGTATGTTAAAATATAATAAGTGTACAAAATATTAAACATGTCAATATTATAGTATTCATAAAAGATCATTATAAAATCGTCACGAGATGAAAATGGTAAAATTGTAGTTATAAATAAATTAACAGGACAAATTATTTTATCCGAGCATAATCATTTTTTAATGATTTTAATAATGTATCGCAGTTATACGTGTTTAATTACTAATAAACGTATTCTAATATAAAATTGCAATGTACGAATAACCATTAACATAATTGCAAATTCATATTTAACTTCCAACTTTGGAAAAAAAAAAAAGGAAATAGTTTTCATTGTACGCTTCCACATTTGCGGATAGGAATTAATTCAAAGTGCGATTATAATGTCACAAGCGAGATCGAGGTGTTTATTTTCGAGTGGATAGAAATGATTATTTAATTACCCGCGACATGCAAATGTATATTGGGAAATAATGGTATTTCGTGATTTGTTAGTCCGCGGCGTTACGAAGCAAAATTGGGAGGCTGCGTTTTATTAACGAGCGGCGATATGCGATCCGAATGACCTCGAGATACATCATCTCTCGTCGGCCATGGTTGTTGTCGTTTATCAAACTGTAAACTGTAGAGGATTTCATGATGGAAAGTCGTATTAAGAGAAAATACCGCATGGATGAATGGTGATCAATACCGCGCAGGAGACAATGCGAAAATGATCGACAGATCGACGGGACATTTGTTTAATTTATCAGTTGCAGTTTTGAAAGCGGATCATTATCGCGATTTGTTCCCGCAAATTATTCACGAATTACCGTTGGGAGACATCATCCCTCTTTTTATTATAGCAACAGCTAACGCCGACGACTGCAAAAGCGTAACGTTTACGCAGCAGTTAGTGGACAGCCGAACGTTAATTTGTTCGTTTGTTAATTTGATCAAGTTTTGAGGAAGCGCTAGAGCGAATAATCGAAAGTAATGCCATTTGCAAGTGTAATTTATTACTCTGGCAATGAATAGTCGCTTGCGCGTAATGCTCTTTCGCGTTTCATATCGTGATGATCGTGCATTCGTATTATACACAGCGGGAGTAATCAATCGCTAAATTTTATGTGCCATGAGCTAAACTAAATTCAAAAAGGAAATTGTTAGTTGTTTAGTAATATATTTCTTGTGTAATTTTCACGATTTTTTTAAACTGTTTATACGAAATTATATCGCTAGTATACGAATTTACAGACAAAATGGATAAATTTATTTGTAATTAATTTGTAATTCCGTCTGAAATTAAATTTCGAAGTCAATAACCTTAAAATATGATAAATTACAAAGGGATCATACAATCAAGAGAATTAACAGATTCGGTAATTAATTGATCACGTGCAATCATTCAACGGATTATTGTAATGTTTAACGAGCTTATATTAGTGTCGTTGTAAAACCATAAAAGCAGAAATAAAATATCATAATGTATTATATATGCGCAAATGAAATATTTTTACCGATTCGTAAATATACGGATTGAAAGTTAAATATATCATTCACGATGTGTTTTTTCATAACTTAATTTCGTAGCTTTAGCTCTGCCATCGCAGATATCTTATTGATCATGCGATATGCAGGTCACACCGAAACAAATCGCCACATCATAACGATGCGTGAAATATATCGTTGCAGAGAAATTGCAACGTAGAGATATTAAAATTTACACGTTCCGTAAAATAGGTTTTTTTTTAATGTTGCGTTTCTTGTAATAATTACGTAAATATTTATAGAATTGTATTGTTCTTATATAGTCTTCTTTTTCATCAATGTGTTGCGACATGAAATATTGCACATTGGAGCGTAATTATTATTTGTGCGTATAATATTGATTATTAATTTTATATATGTATACAATTAAATCCAATACAATTATTTAAAGCATTTAAAAATTATTTCAAATCATAAAAGTAAAAGAAATCAATTTTATTTAATTATATTATATATATATATATTATATTGTATATACTTAATTATAAGTAATAAAATTGAAAATATTTTTTATTCTTTATTCTTTAAAAAACTATTTTTTGGTACAAGCAAATATTATATTTGCTATAATTTAATATTTCTATTTTGATATATTTCAATAGATCCTCGCAAGAAAAGTGAAATAATAAATAAGTTGAATTTTTTAAAATTTGTATTACGTGCAAATTGTATTCTAAAGATATCGACCTTTAATCAACGAAAAGTAACATATATTAAATTCAAATACTTTCCAAAGAAAAATTACAAATTAAAATAGGAATAGTTTTTAGGAATAACATTTATAACACTATAACAAAATTAATATCTACATTACTTTTAAATGACTTGGAACAAGCAATTTATAATCTAGTTAATTTATGTCGTAATAAATAATTTTAAAATATATAATTTTCTTTTCTCTCTCCGGAATAATTTTATATTTTTCACTTGTATCCACTTTTCTTGCGATGTGTTTGTGCACATAAAAAGTCAGAGCACAGAGAATAAAAGAAGTCTATACTTTGTTATATAACGAACTCGGATTTTACTTCAACAACACATCGAGGATGAGCGAGATAAAATTACGATAATAAAAAAGGTGTTGAATCTTTAATGAAATGAACGATTCATCTCACGCGAATATGAATTTACTCACAAGTTGATTCGCCGTCTCCTCGTCGGCCGTTCCGTTCCTCGGAAATATTTACCCATTGCAAGCTGAGTCACTGTTTTCCCGCTTCATTTCTCCGATTATTCGCGCATACACAAATCGATGGGAAAAAAGCGGCTGATCACGACGTTCACGGCTGCGTCTCGCGTGGCAATCCCAGGCTTAAAACATATCGCATACATAAAACAAATTCTCTCTCCCATTACATCGTTGAATGAAAAGAGATAGAGATGGCATGGCCGTCTTCTACGATCTCTCTCTCTCTCTCTCTCTCTCTCTCTTACCTTTATTGATCATTTTGATACACGGATCGCGCAGCACTGCCATTTACATCTTTGGTTTTTGATATTCGTTTGGTTGAAATTCGTGATTTCCTGTTCCTATACTGCCTATGTGCTCTTCAAAATGTTTCCGGCTTAACGCGACACACATCGACGCGTTCGTCATTTCGCCCGGCATCAACTAGTTTCGAACAGTTTGACCGTTTCACGTACGCGGCAACTTCACAGCGGTACGCGGGTGTCGCGGACCTAGCGACAACTTCGTGATACGCGATGGATCGCTCGGGAATCCTTGTATTCCGGGAGTAAGCAGATTGATATCGCGCACGGATCAATCCACATGTTTTCGATGTTCGATCGCTTTCAACTGAAAGGACAATATGAAACGACGCATTTGCCCCAATTACGATCATCGAGTTAATCGCTCTTGTACGCGGTATTCGACACTCCCGCGATGATAATGCGCCATTAGATTCGATACTCCCGACACTCGTTCGCAGTTGATTGGCGAAACATACGCGAAACGCAGAACCGTGACCTCGGAATTCTTGGAAACATTACACACCGAAAGGCGAGTATTGTGAGACTGATCTTCCTGCCACGCGAAAACAAATTATAACCTTCGTCGCTCTTTCGAACACACACACACACACACACACACAAGGCACCTTCACAATCCGGCGTACATTCCGCAACGAAACTCGAGGTTTGTTTGTGTCGCATGCTCCAACATGCTCCTGCTATAGTTCCTACTCTAATGAGTGCATTGGTGTGAGTAGGAGCTATGATAGAATTGGTAGGAGCATGTTGGAGAATGCGACGCGACAAACCTCGAGTTTCGTTGCGGAATGTACGCCGGATTGTGAAGGTGCCTTGTGTGTTCGAAAGAGCGACGAAGGTTATAATTTGTTTTCGCGTGGCAGGAAGATCAGTCTCACAATACTCGCCTTTCGGTGTGTAATGTTTCCAAGAATTCCGAGGTCACGGTTCTGCGTTTCGCGTATGTTTCGCCAATCAACTGCGAACGCGAGTGTCGGGAGTATCGAATCTAATGGCGCATTATGTCGACATTCGTTCGCACACTGAGCCTGCCATTGACAAGCAAAATATTCGCGAAAAACAAAAATGTGATCTTGAAGCTGTTCCGTGTTGAACATACAAATTGAGAGCCTCTTTTATCAACCTTAATTAACGCTAATCGATTAACTCAATCACCACGATTGCCAACGTGAGAACTAAATACAGTTTGTCTCAGAAGAGGAAGAGAGAGGAGACGTTTCTGATATATTAAATTGTTGTTGACACTTCTGCGAGTTGATCGTCGATTAATTTATCAGAATTTGATGAAAGAGGCTTTAAGAGATTATAAACTTTATTGTGTGCATTCAGAATGACAACCACTCACTGAGCTCTTGCATCTGATAGGCATGTTCCGTTAGATCTAAAAATATAGACCAAACAGGAGCAAGAAAATAAGGAATGAATCAAAATAAATAAACGCACCGACATAGTAAGTTTGTTTTCTATGGCTGCACTAATAAATTATACTATATAGATATTCATAGTCGGTTTTTATTTTAAGATGGTCTTAAGTAAGACTTATCTTAAGATGCTAATATCGACCTTAGGGGTCTCCTATTCTGTAATTCTCAACGACAGTAAAGCCTGTGTCACACTACGCATTGAAGATTAAGAATTGCAAATTAGAGATTAGAGTTTGACCAATCAAATAATTTTAATTTTATTCCATTTCGTACTGATTGGCTAAATTCTATCGACCTAAGGACGGTATTCATAATTGAACCTTATTTTAATTCTGTCTTAAGTAATGTCTTAAAATATTAACCTTCTCTCGGAGATTGGTTCGACATTAAGACTGTACTTAATAATTTTAAATATAAAAATTGATTATAAATATCAGTATAAAATTTTTTTTGTTTTGACCAAGTTTCAAACATATAATAAATATATATATTTGAAGTTGTAATATTATTTATTTCAAATAGAAGTTATTAAATATTTATTTTAAATATGAGTATGTTAATTCAGCTACATACTGAGACTACCTTTCATTTCATATGATGCACATAATACATCATTTTATCCTTATTGTTCACCGAATAAAAAAAAGATAAAAGGGTACATAATGCGCATTATACAGAAAACGAAATGTGCCTCTAATATTGTCGTTTTTATCGCTTTTTTAAATCTAACAACTCATATTAATAACGACGAATTGATTTTATGCACTTATGTGCGATTAATATATTTATTATATAATATCTATTAATTATTATAAATGATTTAATATGATTAATTCCTTTATAATATTAAATGTGTACTTATGCTTGGTGCGCTTTGATAAAATAATCCAAAATATGTGACAAGTGATTGAAGTATTTCTGTACTTCAGTGAATAAATTTAATTTTATTAATAAGTAAATCTTTGTTTTATTAATTATCAAGGATACTTGAACAATTGATCAATTTTGTCATCACGATCTTTAAATCGAAACAAAATTTTTAAGTCAGTTTTTAAGTTATAATAACAAGAGGTCATTGAGTTATACTTGTATAATAAGGATTATTATAAAGAAATTTATGTATATTTGTCTTTTTGAATCACATATTGAACAGAATTTTTCTATATAATAAGTACAGTAAAATAGTAACGTGTTGAAAAATATGAAAAATTATATGTCTAACTAATTCTTAATAATTTTCATATATGTATTTCAGTTTACATATCAAATCGAAATTAATCTTGGATAAGTCAGCAATTTTATGAATATAGATTAACTATATAATCTCAGTTTAACTTACTTCTTTTTTTTTCTATGATTATTCGATGTTACAAATGCTTTAAAACGTTCTTTGATTGGTCAATTAGTAAAATTTTCTCTTCCAATTAGTCAATCAAATGTTTCGAAGTATTTGTAGCGTTAAGTTAATTGTACATTTTCGTCACATGACAAATTTTTTAAGTCTAATTGGTTATACGATGGAGATATTTGAGAACCTATTTGTCCTCCAGTTAATTAATACATTTGAAAAATTTATATGTAAAGCGGACAAATGTAACACATTTTAAATCATAATCATTCTAATTCTAAAAATTCGAAAAAGTTAAAGAATAAATTAAATTGTGATTAAAATTAATCTACACAGTAGTAGAAATGGATATTATTAGTCCACTTAATACTACAAATATTTCAAAGGATTTTTTAATTGGTCAATTATGTTTGTTTCTACGAATATATATATAGATTAACTTTAATTTTGGTACAATTTATTCTTTATCTATTTCTAATTTTTAGAACTAGAGAAAAAAATGAAGAGCTAGTTTAATCAGAGGATTAAAATTACACTACATCGGTAGAAAACGATATTAATGAAAGTCTTTCTTCCTATTGGCTAATCAAATTGTTTCGAAGCATTTGAATCGTACCTATTATGTTTCGTCGGTACGTATATTAGACTAATATTACATTTATTCGTTTTTTGTCAAACAATAAATTTTCAAGCCTGTTGATTACTACAAGATAAAAAAAATCCTATAGTAAATCTCTCTGCCAAACAGCATTACATGCTTGAAAAATTTGTTGTACGCAAAAAACGGACAAATATAATATATCTGTTTTGACTAGTGTCTATAGTTACTTCTTTCGACGCGCGCGGTCGTCCTAGTCGCGCCGGTTAAACTATTTACTCCGAGTGTCATCGGCGCCGCGAGGATCGTTTTGCAATTGTTTTGCGTCGAGTACGAGTCTCGCGTGTACGTTAACTGTAAGTACATACGAAAGTCGAAAGCATTTGCGACATTTGCGTCAAACCGACGGGCGATTCCGGGACGTTGAATTAGTCCGCAGACGCGCGCGCGACGGTAAAATTAACTAATTTTCGCGAATCGAGGTTATCGCGCCACCACCGCTCTGAAGTTGCCGTCGCGTAATTTGGATCTTTCGTCGCGCGCCTCGACGAAAATGTTAAGCGTGATTTACTCACTGACAAATTAATGACGTCACTAGACGCGGCTTCTAGCGAATAAAAGTCGCTCCGTGTAAATCACACTTTAGCGCGACTCGCGAGTGCGTCACGCGGGAGACGTCACGTCACGTCGGATCGATAAAGCGAACGGTGTATATTGCGACGTTTACTCGTATCGAGTACGATAGGGGATGCGTTGGCGATTATGTACGACGGACGATTATCGTGTTTGTGCTAATTGGCGCGAAGACTCACGGGTTAAACTGGCGCGGCGTTTCCTCGACCGGCTGATATCCGACGCGAGTGAGTGTCTGGAACGAAGCGGATCGATCGACGGAGCGGATGCCCGGGACAAAGTGGATCGATCGCGGCGAAAAGACGGCGTCGTCAACCGACTGCAGCATCGACTGGTGAGTAATTATCCGCTTATTATAATGTTTATGCGAATTAATCAGTCATTACGTTGTTCGCGACGATTTTACGATCTCGAAGTAAACACATTCCGCTTTTGGTAGAATTCGGCATTGCATTTCCCTTCCTGTTGGTTTACCTGACGATATTTCACACCAATTGGAGAAAATTGAACCAAATTTGGAACTATAACGAGCCACCCCGCTGATTGCTCACTGCGAATTCTCGTTGCTTTGATGAGAAATGAACATGTAATCTGACTACGCGATGAATTCTATCAACGAGTACGAGGGATGATTTTTTTAACGATCACGAGATATGCCGGTAAAGAGCTCACATTGAACAACCTATAATTCGCATCACATATCAGGATTTCAGTAATTTTATTTACAATGTGATACGCTACGTATTTTAACGTATACTTGCATTTTGATGTACATTTTACAGTTTACGTGTACATTCTGATACTTCGAAATGTTTTACGAAGCGCATAAAACCGTAATGGAATTCTATCTTAAATTCCGACGAATTCCAGGTCGTGTAGAATGAATTTGAGATCATCAAACTCCGATTAATCTATTAGCAATTATCTCAATAATTGCATACATTTCGCACTATATAATTTGTTATTTCTGGTCCAATTTTTTGCCGAACAATATGTCGAACAATGAAATAT